AACCAGGGCTACACAGAAAGACCTTATCTCCCCCTACCCCCCAAAAAAAATATCTGCTTGGACCTACCTTTTCAGGGACTGTGTCCATGACCAGGTCGCCATACATGTTCATCACCTGGGGAAAAAAAGGCAATCTGCCCTGGAGGATGTGGCATAGGTAAACGGATCCCCTACACATCCACTCTCCAAAGGCCTTTTCAAGCCCTTTTATCATCCTCTTACCTGGTCATTGAGCCAGTTCTGTCCATATAAGGTACCCAAGTCATCCATGGTGAGCACATGTCGCTTATAGGATACCCGGAAACCCCTTACCATGGCGTTGCCTGGCATCCGTTGGTAAGACTGGATCAGCTGTAGTACCAGACTCTTCCTGCATAGGCCAAGGTTTTGGAATCATGCAAGAGCTAATGGGGCTGGAGCAGACAGAAATACCCACTACTGTATCTAGAATAACAACATAAACGAACTTTTCTTTTTCACAGGTGGTTTTGATGGTCTCCTACTCCACAGAAAGAGGCACGGGAATGCTCAGGGACAAGCTTCTCAGTGTCTCACAGTGTCCTACATAAAGATCCTCCCACGGCTTTCTGTGCTGCAGCTGTAGCTCTTACTTCATCACTAAAGGAGAATCAACATTCTCTCCGCATCCCCATCAGAGGGTACTTCCTCCTTCAGCGGGGACCTCACCTGGAGGGTGTAGAGAACTCCTGCTGGAAAATGTCCTCCAACTTCTCTACAACTTCGTCAGTGCTGAGGGGGATGAGGCTACCGTAAGTTTGAAGGAATTCATCTAAGATGCCTAAATAGAGGTAGGAGAGAGTAAGGTGGGGCCTTTGGACTCTGATCTAGGAGCTGGCCAAAAGAAAACTAAGTCCTTTAAAGGCTTACTCTGCACACAGGTCACATGTTCCTCCCGCAGGGGGCTATGCTGGCCAGCTTTCTCCCCAGGCCGATCTGCCTCTTCTGTAGTGCCCAAGTCAGAGCTCTGAAAAAGTTCCTGAGCCACATGGTCTCCAATGCTGCACACATTGCTGATGAGTATGCTGGCATCAGGGGGTGCCAGGTTGCGCTCCCCTTCAGGACCAGACAGTCCCCCAAAACCATTGGGCAGAGTACATGAGAGGAGCCCTATAAAGCACAGAAATATGACAAGAATGAGAAACTGGCCAAGGAAAAGAACAGATGCATACAAATGATAAGACCACAGAACAGACTGAAGCAGAATCTAGCAATAGAAACCTTATGGAATACAGACACAACCCCCCCACTCTTTGGATGTCCAAAGAGTTTATTTATTTATTTATTTATTTATTTATTTATTTAAGGAGTAGATCATCTTCATAGGCAGGAGGAAAGCAAAAGACTAGGATTTGGAGACTTCAGAAGTATCTGCTGCCAATATATGCTTAACATCTAACAGTGCATAGTACATACGGTTCAGTAATAGTAAGGATGTTGTTACTTAGCTTGAGTTCTCCAAAGAGGAAATATCCTAAATAAAAATGTTAAAATCTACAAATGGTATGTCCATCAGCCGTGAGAGCCCTGTGGAGATGTGTATATCCAGGCCTTATCCCGACAGGAAGAAAGCCTTGGAGTGGACAGCACTGATTTCCCTACACCACAGCTCCCTTTGTCATCTGTACTAAAGACCAGCTACGTAAGGATTTGTTCCCAGCACTGTGTCCCAGGCATCAGTCCTGCTCAAAATCAGAGTGCCCAACTCCCACAGGATAGGAGCTTTCTTTGCAGCCCAGGTGGGGCCTTGATTCACTGGTCTCCTGTCTTAGCCTCTAAAATCATTACAGGTGTGTGCCTACAAGGGCCTTTCTCTTTTCTTTTTTTTTTTTGAGACAGGGTTTCTCTGTATAGCCCTGGCTGTCTTGGAACTCACTCTGTAGACCAGGCTGGCCTCGAACTCAGAAATCTGCCTGCCTCTGCCTCCCAAGTGCTGGGATTAAAGGCGTGCGCCACCACTGCCCAGCTATTTTTTTTTTCTTTTTCTTTTTTTTTTTTTCACAAGGGCCTTTAAAATTAAGGCTTAGGTCATTTCACAGAAGCTTCGCTCCACTTTTCCTAGGCTCACCATGACAACAAATTCCTGGTGCTTCAGGCTCATCACCCTTCCCATTTCCCACCTTACCCGAGTCAGGGTCCAGAGGAGACTTTGGGGTCCACCTTAGTCCATCTTCCTCCACGGGGGGCCCAGAGGGCACTGGTGGAGACCCTCTCATCCCATCCTCTGCCATGAGAGCACCTAGCAGACCCAGCCGGGGTGGGGGTAGCCCCCGGGGGGAGTCAAAACGACAGCAGGGTGATGGCACCTGTGGCGTTGCACCTCCTTCCTGGGGTGAGAGATGGTTCTTGGGGTGTGCGAGGTTCCGCCGCCGGCCTCGGTGGCGCCCCCAAAGCTTCCAGTGGAATGTCAGCGAGGTGCTTTTCGAGTAGAGCAGCATCTGGAAGGCTCTCATGGCTCGGCGCCGGCGCTGTGAGCAGGTTTTTCTATGAGTGGGTCGGAGAGCTCGAGTACGCTGGGAGGCCCCCAGTTGGCCCCATCTAGGGGGTAGTCTCCAAGCTGCTACTTCCTCCTCATCTTCCTCCTCCTCCTCCTCCTCCTCCTCTTCTTCACTAGCTGAGGCATCAAAAGATGGCCGAGGGGCAGGGAGACGTCTAGTTGGCACTGTGGTCCCAGACCCAGGATCTGGCCCAAAGCCACCACCGGACTTGAGCCGGGGCTTAGGGGGTAGGGGCCAACGAAGACGCTCTCGCCTGGGATTTGAGTAAGTGGTGCCGGGTCCCGGAGGCTCAGGCCCCCAAGACCCGGTCTCCTGTATAGTCTGTTTCATCTTTCAGTGCTCTGTAAAATAAAAGTTTGATTATCAAACTGAGAACATCCTACTCTTTCCTCCAAGATTGGAACTTTCTTCAGCATTTTCCTTCTGCTTTCAGATACAAGTAAAGAAAAATCTAAAAACTCCTAACTTCAGCTTTTCCCAGCCAACCTCGTCCAGAAGGAACTGAGTCTGCCATCATTTCATCCCTTGTCCAGGTATAGAGAACCAAAAGAAAATGACTAACTGGTAGGCCTTAGGTATTTTATTTTTAAGCTCTTTGGGTGAAACCCAGTATGCTACTATGGGTGTCCTTAGGACAAGTCTGAGGGCTACTTTGCTAAGAGAGATGGCTCACCACAGGAATCCGGATACGGGTACCTGGGAAGACAACTTTCATCAGAAAAACTTTGGACCCGGGTGAGAAGTTCCCTTTCACCCTGGAATAATATGGGGGTAGGGGACACACACGCCTCAGGTGTGGGGGAGTGTGGTGCGAAGGTTATGGCTCAGGAAAGAGTGATAAGAGAGGAAGATGTTGAAGAAAACTGGAAGCGAACCGAATCGGTGCTTAGCGACCGAATTAAGGAGATGGGACAGAACGGAGCCGTGGGGGCCAGGCAGACCGGCCCCTCTCCAGTCTTCTCCTGGGAGACCTGAATGCTTCCCAGCCCCAATATAGTTTGAAAGCTCGGGCGACTCGGCACACAACGGTCTTAAGTCCTTTAAAGGGCCTCTTGGGCCCAGTTAGGTGCGAGCGAAGACCAGAAATGGAAGAGGCCACAAGGGCGGGGGGAGGGGAAGGGGCGTCCTCACCAGGAGCGGGGAAGCCGGGCACACGGGCCCCAAGGCGGCTGTCTCCGCCTCAGGCTTTCCGGCTCATCTTTCGGACGGCGGCGACCCCGCCACTCCTGCTGTCCTCAGGCGGAGCCGTCTCAATTCACGAGGCCAATGCTCGTGCCGCCCCACTGCGGCCGCCTCTAGCGCGGCTTTAGCCTCCACCTCTACCTCCACCTCCACACCGCCACCACCCCTCCTCCTCCTTCCCCTCCCGCGAGCCCCAGGCCCACCGCCGATGGCGGCGCACAATTAGTGCGTCACACCCGGCGAGCGGCGCCGGCTAGAGCTCAGTCCCGCCTACCTCAGAGCGTCCAGGCCACCGGCCGGTCCCGCCCTCGAGCTCGACGCTGAGCCGAGCCTGCGCACAACCGCCTGGCTTGCCGCGTGTGGCAGTCCCACTGTTCGCTCTTTTACGCCTGCGTGTCGCGTCCAGCCTCACGCTCTACGTCGCAGCCTTACGGTACTGCCTGTTCTTCCGTGGCCTGAGCTTTGGGTGATCTAGTGGGCTTCCCAGCGCATGGCCAGAGACTGGACTGAGACTAGGCGCTTAGGGAAATCCAGGCGGGACATTTTTTGTTTGGTTGGTTGGTTTTTGTTTTTTTTTAAGATTTTAGGTCTTGAGCCGGGCAGTGGTGGCGCACGCCTTTAATCCCAGCACTTGGGAGGCAGAGGCAGGTGGATTTCTGAGTTCGAGGCCAGCCTGCTCTACATAGTGAGTTCCAGGACAGCCAGGGCTACACAGAGAAACACTGTCTCGAAAAAAACAAACAAACAAAAAGATTTTAGGGCTTGAATAAATAAAGAGTGAAACACGACCAGTGTGCCAGGGCGTCCAGTACATACAAACTTCCGGAATACCAGTCTAACCTTGGAGAGTGTTTGTTTGTTTGTTTGTTTGAGACAGAGTCTCAACCTGTGTAACCCCTCGATGGCCTGGTACTCACTATTTAGACCAAGTTGGCCTCGAACTCATCGAGATCTACCTCCCGAGTACTGGGATTTGAAGGCGTGGAGCACAATGCCCAGCTCGGAAGTTTACTAGGGGAATGGGGAGCATGAATGGTATGCATATCGATCCACCTAAAATACATTTTTTTCTAGATAGTAAAGAATTTGGACGCAATAGTGAAAACTGGGCTTCTTGTAAATTGAAGCAGAGGGCACTTGAAGAGTTGTGGCCGAGGGATAGGTTTTCCCTAGCAGAGACTGTATTCTTTCCTCAACCTGCCGCTAGATGGCGGTGCTGTTCTGGATGCAATCCAGTGGACAAGGCTTGGCACAGTGCGCAAAACCCCCTTAACACACACAACAAAAGAATTTGGGGCTGTGTGGAAGAGAAACACAAAATATTCTACTTTTTTAATATCTATGGAGTCAAAGCCCAGAGAGTGTGAGCGGGAAAGGCAAAGGGGGGAACCATGGTCAAGTCGTGAAAACCAAGGAGAGCTGGGCTTGTCCTTTGTCTAGCCAGATCTTGGAATGGTACTCCCCCTCCCCCCCCCCCATAGCACAATCATAGTTTCACAAACCCCAGGAATGTTCCATGCGGAGAAAGGCTAAGTTTTGCGTTTGCCCGTGGAATTTTGACAGTGATAATATCCCCTTGATGTAAATGAAAGACACCTGAGGGGGAAAAAACATTTCAGATGCTTCATTCTGCCTACTCCAGCCCCTCCTCCATTTTGATTTTATGTTTCCAGTTTTTTGTTAGAGAACATGTGCATGTGTGGAGATCAGAAGACAACTTAGGAAAATCAGTTCCTTCCCCTGCTTTGCAGGTTCTCCGAATCATACTCAGGTGGTATGATGTGAGGGAGGGGGAAGTACCTTTCCTAATTGAGCCATCTCACTGGCTTTGCTTTTTAATTTTTGAGGCAGCCTCACTCTGTAGCCTAGGCTGACCTTGGACTTTAGGCAAACCTCCCGCTTCAGCTTCATATTCGGGATTATAGTTGTTCATAGGTTTGTGCCTTTTGTCCCTGTAAGGACCGAGGCATCTTGTCCTTCAGTCTTCAGATTTGCCTCTACATCCAAGTTCCCAACTCTCTAGTCTGACTCCCCACACCAAGTCAGCCCTGCCCCCTCAGATCAACCCTCTCCTGACCCCACAGTTCTCACCTGCACTGTAGCAGCTATCGTAGGCACGGTCAGGGTCAGAAGGCATACTTCTGATACATCGGAATAGAGTCTCCCTTCTCCCTCGGCCTTCCCGAGACACCACCTGACCCATCGTGAAAGTCACATCATGAAACAGGACCTGTCAGAGGAGGGAGACGTTGAAGAAAACCAGGATGGCATGGTTCCATCCTTGGAGGCCTTGGGAGCACTGGCAGTGGAGCCAGGCAATAAGGAAGGGGGCTTCTAAGTTTGGTATGAGCAGGGGGATCAGGGAAGCCCTCATTACAGACAGGGTACATAGAAGAGTGACAAGCCAGTCTCCATGTCCACATGATGGGCTCAGGGCTTGTCTGGGGTTACCTGGCTATATAGCAGATAAATTCCAGTGTCCTGGACTCGGACAATGTCTTCTTGGGCCTCCAGGCCTCTCCCACGCCTAAGAGCTGGTTGCCACATCACCTCTGTCACGTCAGAGTCTGCTAGAGGTGAGGAGTGTGCAGGTCAGCATGTCCTTACATTCAGATACAGGAGCTCTCTCCCTTTGCATTTCTAGGGTTCTCTTGGCCCCAGCCCCACAGTTCCTGGTTGGTGCCCCTCCCACAGTGCCGTTATTTAAAATAGTGCTTACCCTTGGAGGTAATGTTAATTGGAACAAGATGCAGTACCGAGTGCTTCTCTAAGGAAAGGAGGAAATAGCAGTGTTGACCTGCCCCCGGAGTCCATCCTCCACCCTCACCTCAGCTCTGGTCGGCATTCCTCATGCTCCTGGCTCACCTCCAACCCTGCCGAAACCCCAGGGCTCACTCACTCTTGTGCTTCTGGGTGAGTACTGTTCTCCTTCTCCGAGACTTCACCCCATCCTTCCAGGCTTCCAGGACATCAGGATTCTGCTCATGAAAGAGGGCCAGAGTTAAGGGTCTCAGACAACCTTCTTCTGGGCCCTCAACGCCAGGAATAGCTGAAATGTGTGTACCTGTCATAGGCCCCTGGTCTGGGCATTAATCTTTAACAGTTTATTTTCCTGGGATGGCTGTTTCCTTGACCTCCAAATCTAGGGCCACCTCTAGCACTCACTTACAATTTTGCAGATTGAGAGGCTCTGAGACCCCTCTGCCATTCATCCTTGACCCCTAGATTCCCGTCTCCCTTAACTCACCTGTTCCCAGAGGCTCTGCCATGGAGACTCTCCCCGCTTCTGGGAATGTCCTCCACTCCGCTGCAGCCGACTCACCTCACGCCTTAGGCTTTGCAGCTCTGTTTGTTGGATCAGTAGTGCTACAGCACAAGTCACAGCCCCCAGAACCGCCCCCCAACTCAACCAAAGAGCAACAGAAAGGGCTGGCTCTCTGACGGAGCCCCCCATGTTGCCTGGAGATGAGGCTGGCATGAGCTAGGGACCCTGCCAACAGCTGTGGTCTCAGAAGTGAGGTGGCCAGGAGGTAGCCGGGAGGGTGGGAATACAGGCAAAGGCACAGAAGGGAAGAGCGAGTTACGCAAGGGAAAAATAAAAAGGAACTTAAGAATAGGAAGAAATCAAGCTAGGGTACAGTTAGTACCCCTGGTCCCCAGGGTAGAGCTAGTGTCACTCTGACACCCCTTGCCCCCTAGCCTCAGGAGAATTTTGTGCCATTATCTAGGAAGGACAGGGCAGCCGTGACACCCAGAAGGAGCGGCCAGCATTCAGGAGCCTGGGGGCGGCCCCTAAGTTGGAGGAGGGAAGGTCGGTTGGTTATGGGGCATGGTGCCAGGAGCAGGGAATGGGCATAAGCTGGGCCGCAGGAGGTTTAGAAGGTGAGTGTGGTAGACTCTGACTCAGGCATGAATGAGATCTTTGAGGAGGTTTGTTAGGGGTGACTGGAGATGAAAAAAAGGGGTTTAGGGGCCAGCAGGGAGGAGAACCAGGGATAAGAAACTGGCAGGGTGCTGGGGTTAAGGCTGGGCCGGGTGTGTTGGAACCAGGCCTGCACTACTCCCTGTGCTGAACTTGGCAAGCTGGACTTCCTGTTTCCCAAGAAGAGTTCTTACATAAGGTTCTCTGGACAAAGAGAAAAGACAAAAGCCCCGAGCCCCTCAGTCGGTGCAGCACTCCCCACACCCATGTAGCTGGCCCGCTGGAGTCCTTCTTATGGCTCTGAGCCCCTTTCCAGGTTAGCTCCCATCCCTTCTCCTAGCCAGGCCTGTGCCAGCACCTGCTCAACTATTGAATGTCCTGAGGCCGCCAAGAGGAAGGGCCCTGCTCCTCCCAGCCAGGGATTCCCCTGCAAGAGGAAGTCCCTGCTAGGAAAATGAGGCTGCTTCTGTAGTACCTTGAACAGGGGACCAGGTGGTTTGTGTTGTTGGTTGGTTGCATGTTTTTTTCTGGTATCTTTGTGATTTCAAAACTGCAGCTTGGAGGCATGCAGGTCCATGTTCCCCAAAGCCTAAATTCCCTTCCCACAACCGTCAGTTACTCTGAGCCCCAAAGAAGAGAAATCATGATTTATTCTCTTTAATATCCATTTAACATTTTGTCACAATAATAATAAAAATAGTATCTTTTCAAAATCCACAGGGATCCAGGGAGGAGCTTGTCTCCAGCCCTTTCCCCTCACATTTGGGAACTTCTGGCCTAGTCCCAGGTTCTTTGGCTTCCTGCCACCAGGTCCAGCCCATCTCAGTCCCTAATGCACATAGTCAGTAAACACAGGGTCCTGGGGTTGGGGCCGGGAGAGTCAGGGATGAGTGGGGGCTTTGGGAGCTAGTGAGGTGGATAGTTGTAGTGGGATGGGATGTTCAAGAAGAACAGGAATACGTCTGTGGAAGGGAAGACATGTGAACAAGCCCTGGCTGCCTTTGAGGGGAGGACAGGACTGGAGCAAGGAGCAGTTGGGGATGGGGGGTGGGGGGGTGTCATGGTGCTCTGGGAGCTGCTCCGGTAAAGTTTAAGGAATCTGGGAAAGCAGGACCCCTCAGTGAACTTGAAAGAGTCCAAAATAGGTAAGGAAGGGGGCAGCCTTAAGATGAGCCCAGGGGAGGGTACGGATCCGAAGGGAAGACCCTGGCCGTAGCGGCAACAGCCCAGACACCTGGCACAGACGGAGCTGGGGCCCAGGAGAGCTTGCTGCTGTGGCTGAGAATTCTTCCAGGCAGCGCAGGGCCAGCACACCATTCACCAGCAAGTCCAGCTTCAGGTAGACGGCCTTTCCCTCATCAAAGTGCACCTGGAGCAGAGAGAGACAAGAAAATCCAGACCTCTGCCCATCCCCATCAAAATCCAGGAATCTTCCTTCACGAAACCCAGATTCTCCCTCTCCCACCCATTCCTTGCCAAACCCTTCTCCCCTTAGCCATTGCTCTGGCCATGGAGCCAGGCAGGGCTTACCTGACAGTACAGGTAGTAGAGCCCAGCCCTGATGACTGTAAATTCCCCGATCTGGCGGTCATAGCGCAGAGGGCTGGAGCTGTTGATTTTGGTCTCTTCCCAGCCACTCACTGTCCCATCCACACCTGAATGGGGGATGTTTAGGGAAAAGTAGAAGCCCCTTTACAAGACTCTCCCACACTCCCCGGGATCCATTACGTTTATATATATGTGTGACGTACAACTAGCCCAGAGTATCGGTGGAGCCATGCCCTTATGGTGCAAGGAGTGATAATAAGGTATTGTGTGATGAGATCTAACATTTGTTTCCAGGAAGTTTCACTGGTGATTGCTTCTGGGGAGATTAAAGAGTGGTGCTACCAGCAGAAGAGCTGGGATTACTTCATGGTTTATGTCCTGAACACACACACACACATACACGCACGCATTATTTGAGTCAACTAAAATGGGCGACAGGCCACAGATTCATGGGTTATGGATTTAAAACTTCCTATAACAAACGAGAAGAATTTGCCCAGCATTGGTGGCACACACCTTTAATCGTAGCACTTGGGAGACAGAGGCAAGGGGCTCTATAGAGCAAGTTCCAGAACAGCCAGGGATACACAGAGAAACCCTGTCACAAAACTAACAAAAAAAATAAAGTAACCCCAAAGGGAACTTAGGCTGTCCTTGAACTTGCTATGCAGTTGAGGGTGAACTTGGGTCCCTCATGTTGCCTTCCAAGTGTGAGATAATGGGTGTGTGCCACTTTACCAGGCTTGGCCTCATGGGGTTTTGTTTGTTTGTGATAGAATCTCTCTATGTAGTCCTAGCTGTCCTGGTTGTCCACTATATTGACCAAGCTGGTCTCTTAACTCACAGAGACTGGCCTGCACCTGCCTCTGCCTCCTAATGCTGGGATTACAGGTGTGAGCCATGGCTTGTGGTGATTAACGGTTTGCACCTTAGGGTGTACTTTAGTCACAGCAGACTAAGAGCATGGGATTAAACAGGTGGACAGACTACATGGACTGTGAAATCTATCTTAATAGAGCTGTTACCAAAAGCTATGCCATGCAAAGGGCTGCGGATATAGCTCAGTGGAAAAGTGCTTACCTAGCATGCCTAGGACTCTAAAGTCTGTCACCACAAAACAAACAAATAGAAATCCCTAGAACTAGTGCAGTTGAAAACCAGAAAGAGAGCCAGGCATGGTGACATACGCCTTTAATCCCAGCACTTGGGAAGCAGAAGCAGGTGGATCTTTGAGTTCGAGGCCAGCCTGGTCTACAGAGTGAGTTCTAAGACAGCCAGAGTTACACAGAGACACCCTGTCTCGAAACAAAGAAGAAGGAAAAAGAGGAGGAGGAGGAGGAAGAGGAGGGGAAGAAGAAGAAGAGGAGGAAGACAGAAAAAAACTTTCAAAAGAAGTAGTAGGCATGGAACTCTTGAGTCCATGACTTCCCAGACCCTGCTCCAAGGCTATCAACTCTGCAAGCTCACCGACTCACCCGACCACATCCCTGCACTCCTACCACCATCTTGGCCTTCTTCCTGTGTCCAACCATGCTCCAAGCCCTTTCTCCCTACAGGACTTTATAATGGTCTACCTTCACGCCCACCCCACCCCTGCAGTCTCTTCTCTTCTTTATAATGGTCTTCCTCCACACCCACCCCACTCCTGAGATCTCTTCTCTTCTGACAATGACTTCTAGTTTCTCCTTCGAGAGCTGCGGGTGTGATGAAACAGGTCTATAATCTGATCATTTGGGAGTCTGAGAAAAAGTTCCTGAGTTCAAAGCCAGCCCATGGTTACATACTAAGACATTGTCTCAAAACAAAGCAAAATAAGACAAGCAAACAGACTGGCCATACCCATCTCTGACTTCCCTTCGTGTTCCCCGGCAGTCAGCAAAGGGCAAGGGCGGGCAGCTGACTCACCCCGACTGTATCCCAGCACTTGGAACTGGGCCTCACCTAAGTGAGGCCTACAATCCACTAGTGAGGAGTCACCTGACACTTCTCATCCTTTGGGTCCGTAGGCTTCCTGGGTTGCAGGCCCGACAGTCAGTCACCCTCCTCTGCCATCCCCAGCTCTGTTCTTGTCCTTTGTTATTGTTTGGTTGAAGACAGGGTCTCACTCTGTAGCCCTGGCTGCCTGGTAGTTACAGTACCTCCTGCCTCAGCCTTCAAAGTGCTAGAATCACACTATGCACCACCCTGCCTAGCTTTCTCAAGTAAACAGTAACTCTTTGGATTAGGGTGTGGCTCGGTGGTAGAGCATTTGTCTAGCTTGCACTTGGTCCTAGGTTTGTCTCCCCTTCCCCTATCTCTACATTACCCACCCCCATGTTCACTGGGAGGAGAGGAGTGATTCTTTCTGGGCATTTCTATTCCCATCTGAGTTAGCACAGCCATGTGTCCTTTAAGGCCAGCCTCCCTTTACCCAAACTGACCTGACCCCTTCAGCCAGAAGGGTGAAGACTCGCTCCAGTATCCACACACCATGCATGGCTCACAGAAACACCAGTCTCTCCTATACCAATAGCAAATTTGCTCAATGATAATAGTTTCCTACTGTTCCCGCTCCTGAACAGCCCTGCCCTTTGCATTCCTTTGATGGATGGGTCATTGAAGGACAATCCCCTTTTTCTCTTTGTGACTTGCCATCTGTCTGCTGTAGTTTTCTACCCTACTCTCTTTTCTCTTACACGTCCAACCTGCAGCCCTCGGGGGCCCCATGGGTGCTATGGACATCATCAGGTCACAGTATCAAGAGATCAGATACCCCACATCGATAGAGCACTTTCCCACCTCCGTCTCACTGAAACTCTTAACCTTCAGCCTCATCAGACTCTTGGAAAAGCATGGCCTTGCATGGTTCCTGAGCCTGTCTCTACCACACAATTGAGCTTTGAGGCCTACTAAGGCCTAAATACTACTACCAGGGGGAATGAGTCCCTGACTCCCCTGTAAAATTGTCTTCCTGTATGGTGCCATGCATCTTGGGCTACCTTAACCTCATTCTTGTCATCTAGCACTGTAATTGCATGTTTACAGACTGCTGTTCCTCTGTGGTGAATCCTTATGCCAAGGTATGTGAGTGTGACTCACCATGGTCTGGTCCCTGGTAAATAGCAGGCTCCTGATTGCATGTATGTTGAGTCAGTGAACTGATGCTTGGGAAATCATCAGCTTCCAAATAATGCCTCAATAATGATCCCCAAATAAGCAATCTCTCCCAAGGTGAAGAGAGCTAGCCTGGCCTTACCGAACAGGGAGGGAAGAAAAAGGAGAAGGCATACTGGGTGCAGACTGGCTTAGGGCTAGGCTAGCTGTGCCCAAAGGACATGATATACTTGGGAGTGTGAACAGTTCCTAGGTCACTCAGCACCACAAACCTTCAAAGGGTATCTAATGCTGCTTGGCATCTCACTTGCCCTCTAAGGGCTGGTCTTGATAGCATAGCATCTCTCCTCAGAGCTGCTGATGCCATGTCCCTAGTCCCCATGGGGACCTAGCCATCCTCAGGCCAGGGATTTCCCCATCTCCCACAAAACCTACAAGCACCACTTCTCATGTTCCTTTGGTGTCTTCATGATGGAAGGGTGTCCTTGTCCTCCCTTCCCCCTTCTCGGGGACTGGCCTATGGGTAGCCTTATCCTTGCCCCAAGTGAGCCTCTCATGAAGACTCGTGTTCAGCATCTAAGCATGTCCTAGCTGGCTTTGAATCCCACATCCACCACTTAGGTCTGCCATGACCTTGAGCAAGCTGAATATCCCTCACTTATTAAGTGTGGGTTATTGAGGACATCCTGCTATGGCATTTGTAGAGATCTGATCAATTTTAATGCCTACTGGCTAATCCCATTGCTTACCCCAAAGGCCCCAGGATGAATACAGTTTCGGTAAGGACCAAGGTTTTCTTTGGCTTATATCTCTCTTTACCACCCACTTCTCTCATTCTTGCCACTGTCTCTCATTCCCTTTCTCATGCTTTCTGCGCTCAGGCTACACTTCTATCCTAACCACAATCCTGAAGCCGCCCATTAAGGTCATCACTTGGTCTTATGTCACTAAACCAGTAGTCACAGCTCTGTCTTTGTGTCATGTGACCTCTCAGCTGCCTGAAACTGTCTTCTGAGAGCTCAGGGCACCACCCTGCCTGAGATTCTTCCTTTCCCCCCATCTCAGCTGGCTTCCCCTTCTGCCCAGCTTCATTCTTGGGGCGTCTCTCTCTCCCCTGGTGTCTCATCTCATCCTGTGGCTTTAAATAACAACCCCACGACCATTTCTCACCTAGCCTGGGCCAGCCTTGCCACCCGTGGATGGAATTCACTTTACCAACTCCCCACTTGTTCATTATTAAACACCTCCAAGTTAAGTAATCTCCTTACACCTCCTTTCCTCCTGGGTAATCCAGTCTTAGAAAATGGCATTATCTTTCTCAGATATTCAAGCCAGATATGAAGACATCAACCTGGAGTTCCAGCCGCTAAGGAGGCTGAGGCAGGAGGATCACTTAAGCCCAGGAGTTTTAGAACAGCCTGGGCAGAATGGCAAGGCCCCACCTCAAAAACAGAAAATGAGGTCTATGGTATTTATTAACCCTCTGTTTCCCTTACTCTTCCCATCTAACCCACTGGCGACCGCTGCATTTCTAAGCCGCACGTTGAATCTCCAATCTCCCTCTCTCTACGACTAATGCCCTAGTCCAAGCCACCCGTGCGTCCTGCCTCTAGGCCTTCACAGTGGACAGATGTTCCAGGTGACAGAACAGCGAGTACAAAGTCCAGAAGAGGCACACTAGGGCACAGGAGTGTCAGCACCACAAGTGCCAGGAAGTGAGGTTGAGGCCATAGCATAGAGAGACTGAAGCTAAACAGAGAAGCAATGGAATGGGGGACTGGGCAGCAGACAACAGACAAGGGGGGCATTAGCAGGGTGATCGAGGATGGGGAAGGGGCAGAGCTGAGTCTGAGGTCCTAAGGTCATGGTGTCAAGGTGGGCAGACAGAGATGGGCAGAGACTAGAAACATTTGGAGGAATAATGATCATGCAGTAGGAAAAATCAAGGAACACAGAGAAAACAGGACCACAGGTGTTTCCTGGAAAAGCCCGAGGATTGGTGGAGGAAGATGGGGGCCACTTGTTTGGGGAGGGGCTTGGATTCAGCAGAGGACAGGGGTCTTCCTAGGATCCCATGCCAGGATCACAGAACTTAGAGGACTTTCCTAAACTGGCTTCTGGGGTTCCTAGCATGGATTCAGGGAGGGAGAGGCTTGGGGGATCCTTTTCTGGGGTGGGAGATGCTATGATAGGTCCAGGGAAAGCTGAGGTCGGGTGGAACTCACCTGCCTGTGCTCCATCCTGTCCTGGCCTCGGATGAACTGTGAGACACAGGAAAGGGTTCGTGAGACCTGCCCATCTCCAGCCATCCCTCCCTTCACAGTGGGCTACCTACCCTCATAATGGGCTGCAATAGCTCGGCGAGGCCGTGCCTTCCGACCTTTAGAAGCTAAAAATAAAGCAAGGATTTATCAGCAGGACCCAAGAGCTAGCCCCCAGCCTCACCCTGCTCAAGGGCCCTGGAAGTCATCCAGACTGCTGGGCGTCACACCTCCAGCCTCACCCTCCTCCATCAACAGTGACAACGTATTTATCATCCAAACTGGTGTACATCTGAGAGCAGGAAGTAGCTAGTAACTAACAGTCACACTGGTGTACACCTGAGAGCAGGAGGTAGCTAGTAACTAACAGTCACACTGGTGTACACCTGAGAGCAGGAGGTAGCTAGTAACTAACAGTCACACTGGGCTAGGGGTGCAGCTTAGTGGTAGAGTGTTTGCCTAGCACGCACAAGGCTCTGAAATCTAGCTCCACCACCACACAGATACACAGACACAGACACAGACAAACACAGATACCCAGGGACAGACACACATACCAAGCAGGGAAATTCCATCCATCCAAACCTGAATATATAGTAATGAACCACTGATTCATGGGAGTCTCTGTTTAGGGAAGCCCAGGCCTCAGACTTCCCACCTTATCCTTAGGAGGACTCCTGGAGTCTTTTTCTTTTTTTTTTTTTTTTTTTTTTTTCTTTTTTTTTTTTTTTTTTTTTTTGGTTTTTCAAGACAGGGTTTCTCTCTGTAGCCCTGGCTGTCCTGGAACTCACTCGTAGACCAGGCTGGCCTCTAACTCAGAAATCCACCTGCCTCTGCCTCCCAAGTGCTGGGATTAAAGGCGTGCACCACCACCACCCGGCTTCCTGGAGTCTTTTTAACTCCTGGTCACAGGAGGGGTCATAGTAGGGTTCATAGGTTCAGCTCCATGTGGCAAAATGAGTTTTAGAAGGTAGAGCTAAAATTCCTAGATCCCGTTCTCAGCTGCTTAGCTGTTTGATTCTAGGTCTCCTTCAGGCTCCCTGCCTCAGTTTCTGTACAAAAATAATAGTTTTTTTTTTTCTTCTGCTCACTTCATAAGACTGTCGTGCAGAGCAAAGCAGTATATGAACCAATGAACCTTGTTACTGAGACTGGGACATAGGGATGGATGCTCACCACTTCTTCGAGGCCGGATTAGTTGTTCCAAGAAAGGTACCACATCTTGGCTTTCCTCTGTCTGGGGATTCAGTTCCTAGGGGAATTAAGGGCAGGGCTCAAACAGGACCTCTCAGAGACAAACAACCACAGGGCCTGTCAGAAGAACCATCAGCCAGTAACAGTCACAAATCCTAGGGGTTGACCAAACCTGGGAGTGAGGCTGGGTCCTCATCCCCTTGCAGAGATCAGACAGACTTTAATGCCCACAGCCCAAATCAAGAACCTGTGCCCTACTGACATACAACACCTACAGGATCTCGGGGAGGTGGGGCAGAGACAGCATGTATGCACAGGTGATACATATCATTCATATAGCCTTTGTCTCTGGTGTCAGGCTCAGAGTCCTCACAGCCAATCAGCACTTTTAACTCGGGTAGCACAACTCTCACCTTGGTAGAGTTGCCCCCTTACATCCAGATCACCCTGTTTACACACCGACATACCCACGTGGGCTGGTTCACTCCGCACACTCTGAAGGCTTCCTTGTACACACAGCTCGATGCACACACCTCACACACGAGTGTCACAGCCAGCCACCGCCTCAGCCCAGGCATACTTTTCCATGCTGGCATCCTGTACACAGCATCCACACCTACTCACAGGGGGCTCCCGGTGGTCCTCTGCTGTCAGCTCCTTCTGAGAAGGCTCCTGCTGGGAAGGAGGCAGCGTCACCCTGTCCTTCCCTTGACATCTCATCCTCCACCCCTTCTCCGATCCCCTGGCCCTCTGCCCACGCGGCCCCCATCTGCTTCTCTGCACTTTCTGCTCCTAGTATGCCCAGAAAGGGGTATGCTGAGGGCCTCACCTGGGCAGACAGCGTTGCCCAGCTCCCCAGGCTGACCACGACCAGCAGGAGGCCAAGGCAGGCCAGCGCCAGGCCAAGGCTCAGCACCAGCGGGGCCAGCAGGGCGGTGCCCGGCTCCCGCCGGCGCCCCCTCCGCCTCTGGCTCCGACGGGCGGCCATGGGGGCGGGGGGCTGTGCCTGCCTCACCGCCCCCCCATCCCGGGACCCGAGGGATGGGGAGGGGGAGCTGGTGGGCGGATCAGGCCAGGGGAGAGGGAGGGACCAGAGAAGCGGGCCGGAGGGGGGCGGATGAGGACAGGAAGCCGGACACTGTTTGTGTGATTAAACTCCAGCCTCCCCGGAGTGCAGTGCAAGAAGTGAGAGGCGTCCTGCGCCCGGGCGCGTGCAAGCAGGCGACCGCAATGGCACTCCAGAGCAAGGCCTCTCAGGGCCAGTGAAAGCAGAAGTGGACAGGCATCCACCCAGGCCAGTGTGCCAGGGATGGGACTCAGGCTCTGGCCTCAGGAACTCAACACCGCCCCAGTATGTTGAGCCCCTCCCACAGCAATCATTAATCATAAAAATGCCCCCAAAGGGCTTGCCTGCAGGCCAATCTGATGGAGGCCATTTCTGAGTTGAAATTCCCTTTTCCAAAATTCCCTAACTTGTTTGGGCAACCTAACTACCTCTTTCCCAGCAAAGGTTATTTTTTCAGATCATCGTGGGTTTTGGGTTTTTTTTTGTCTTTGTTTTTGTTTGATTTTGTTTTTTTCTTTTTTTTGAGACTGGGTCTTTGTGTATCCCTGGCTGTCCTGGAAATCACTTTGTAGACCAGGCTGGCCTCGAACTCATAGAGACCCACCTGACTCAACATCCTGAGTGCTGAGATTAATGCACTCAGGAGGCATGGATCACCACCTTGGCAATAAAGAATATTTTTTTAAAAAGATAGTTTGTGCCGGGCAGTGGTGGCGCACGCCTTTAATCCTAGCACTTGGGAGGCAGAGGCAGGCGGATTTCTGAGTTCGAGGCCAGCCTGGTCTACAGAGTGAGTTCTAGGACAGCCAGGGCTATACAGAGAAACCCTGTCTCGAAAAACCAAAAAAAAAAAAAAAAAAAGATGTTTTCGTTTTAATCCCAGGTGTCGGGATAGGAGGCTGCTTCGTAGTAGCTGACAATGGTTTGCCTCGTGCTCTAGCTGAGGCATGGTTTTGCCAGCTGCAGATAGTTTCTGCCTTGGTGTGACTTTTGGAATTCTGGGAACTTTTCAGAGGGTATATAAATGCTATGGCCCAGCGAGGCAGGGTTGGTGGTTGGTAGTCATTCAGGGGGTGTTGGTTGCAGATTGTTAGTAATTGTGCTCAAAGAAGAAAGGAAAGAAATTAGATTCAGAGATCTCTCTCTCTCTCCCCTCTGTCCTTTCTCTCCTATCTAGTGATAGGGGGTAAGAAGAAACAAGAAGAAAGACATAAGATTCAAGGATGGATCTCTCTCTCTCTGTCTCTCTCTCTCTCTCTCTCTCTCTCTCTCTCTCTCTCTCTCCCCTTCTTATCCTTGCTTTGACTCATGGTTCTGGTCCAAGGTTGAAGGGCCACACTCAGTGATGGCCTTCCTGTTGCCAAAGTCCTAAGTAGCACAGGACATCACATGGTGACAGATAGGGAGCATGAGAGTGGCCAAACTGACTTTACAGCCAACACGTTCTGAAGATAACCCACTAATTCATTCATTGCGTGGGTGGATTGATTAATCTACTATTGAGGGCAGAGCCCTAGTCACCTCTCAACCAGGTCCCAACCCGCCTTTCACTATCTCCTAATGACGATTAAATTCCAACATGAGTTTCAGAAGGACAAACCATATAAGATCATAGAAGATGATATAAGTTAAATGTCTAAAAAGGAAAAAAAAACCCAGTAGAATTAAAGAATAAATTCATGACTGAGGTGAAAATAATTAAGCTGTAATAAGACAATAGTATTTAATTGATAAAGTATAAAAAAATTTGCCATATTCTTAGAATGACACGTGGGTTTGGATGTATGGAGAGTTATGGCTTGGACGTAAAGTATCTCCCAAAAACCAGTACCCAGTGAGATGTGCAGAGGTAGGTTTTTGAGAAGTGGTTGGATCTTGAGGGTCTTAATTATATCAATGGATGATTGATGGATTCAAACTTTGATTTTCTTTAACTTTAACTTTTTAAAATTGTATATGTGTGGGTGTTTGCCTGCATGTATGTCTGTGCACCACATACATGCAGTACCTATGGATGCCAGAAGGGGGGGCCAGATCCATCAGAACTGGAGTTACAGCCCTTTATAAGCTACCAATTGGGCGCAAGAAATGGAGCCTGATTCTGTGTAGCCCTGGCTGTCCTGGAACTCACTCTGTAGACCAGGCTGGCCTCGAACTCAGAAATCCGCCTGCCTCTGCCTCCCAAGTGCTGGGATTAAAGGCGTGCGCCACCACCGCCCGGCGGGAGTCTGATTCTGGGAGAACACCCTGCACTCATCTCCTCAGCTCTCCACTGAAACTTGGGAGAGGCTATCAGAAGGTGATGGAGCTCTAAAAGGAAGGCCCTGTAGGAGCCAGGAGGTCACTGCTGTTGTGCCTTGCCTTCTCTTTTCCTTCCCTGCTTCCAGTACCTCATGAGGGAAGGAACTTTTCTCTGCCAGAGACTCCCCACCGTGATGTTCATCATGGGCAAAGGAGCAGCGTAAAGGGACCATGGACTGGGACTTCGGAGATGTGAGTTCAAATACATCTCTCCTCCTGTTGTTTTCTAGGTTTTCTTTAGCAGCAATGAAAAGTCCTATCAACACAAAGAAGAAAGAAAAATACTAGCCCATTGTTTGCTAGAGCTAAGCCCTAGTTAACATGGTTACGGTAATGTAAGTCTGTATATAAGGCTGTAACTTTCGGTCTGTCGGGTCCAAAGCAAACTCCAGTTCGCCAAACCCCAAAAGGCAGTCCAATTATCCAGAAACGAGCTCGCCCTGGAGCACTGAAGAGGATGTCTGGTGGTTAGATAAAAGCCAGCATTCCTCAGGAATGTGTGGAGCAGGTCCCCATCTACCAGAAGGTCATTTCCCTCATGTCTGGCAGAGGAGGCACACGGTGACCTGTGGCACCCATCAGCATATCAAAGCTTATGCTGGTATCTCAAGTACACATTACATATTTTAAAGTCCAAGTTAGCCCTTCTTCTCCCCGACCCCCCAAACCATAAACTCCCTCCAGCTCATGGACTTCCCTCTCCCCAGCTATCTTGGTTATGCACTTTCTCTCTCTGCTTCTGTTCCTCTCACGGTATTCTCTTCTCTATCCCTCTAGTCTCCCCTCTCTCATAGACAGCCCTGGCCATGTCCAATGTGCTGGCGATGTCCAGTCTATCCCTCTCCTCTAGACTCTTTCAGATGCCTCTGGCTGTTCGCCCTTTCATATTTATAATAATGAAAATAATAATAATAATAATACCCTTCCCCTTAGCTATCCCATGTTGTCAGTTTATACCTAGACTCATCCTAAGAAAAATCCAGAGACTTGGTTGTCAGCATAGCAAACCTCTCCAATGCTCCCACTTGAGTACTGTATATGAAGCCGAGAGGGGTGGAATTATAAACCAGACACTCTCACACTGATGGGTCACACTGATGGCAGCAAAATGGTAGACAGTTACTTTCATCATTAAATAATCCCAACCAGAGAGTGGATTCTTTGAGATTAGCTGGGCTGCACAGTGAAAGCCTGTCTCAGACAGACCAAAAAACACCACCAGTCCTGTGCTGGGAATATAGGTCAATGGTAGAGAATTCACCTGGTCTACGTAAAAGTGCCTGGACCTACTGGGTCCCTGGATCTATGCCTGGATCTGCTGGGAGAGAATAAAAAGAAGAAAAATTATTATTATTTTTTTTGTTTTGTTTTGTTTTTTTTTTGGTTTTTCGAGACAGGGTTTCTCTGTGTAGCCCTGGCTGTCCTGGAACTCACTCTGTAGACCAGGCTGGCCTCGAACTCAGAAATCCACCTGCCTCTGCCTCCCAAGTGCTGGGATTAAAGGCGTGCGCCACCACCGCCCGGCAAGAAAAATTATTATAAATAGCATCTTTACTGTGAAGAGGAAAGGAAGAGAGTGACCAGACACCTGATATTTTATACTTTAATAACATCAAAAGCACCAAGTCTACAACAGAAGTATGGACTGTATTAAATTAGGATTTCTGGAATAATGCCTAGAAGAGGCAAAAGCAAGGTTGGAGGGGTCTCCTGGAGGTGGCAGGTGAGATAGGAAGGGCAGGGTAACATTTCCCATCATAACCTCCACTGCTATGTTCTGTCAGGTGAATTTAGGAAAAGGAAAACCTTCATCCGGCAGGAATCTTTGCTGGGGAGTGGAAGTGGCCGCCACCTCCGCCAGGCCTCCATCACACCTGCTAATGGAAAAAGACAAGGATTGGTCCCTCCGAGACACCAGAGCATCTGCAGATCCCATAACGTTGCCTTGAAAAATTAATTTAATACACTTAACCTTTTTGTTCTTGGTTTGCCGCCAGAGCTAAAATTGACTTGCATTCTTCTAGGACGCTGATGGGAAATGACTTGGGAAAGTGTAGGAAAAATACTGAGAGGGAATCTGCCAGCCTCTCCCCTTTTCCTTGTTTTCTCTCTCAATACTGAAGAAAGAGGGGCTTTTCTATTTTCGTTTTCTAGGCTTTGTTAAGTTAATATCCCTCACACTCAGAGAGGGAATTTCGTGTCGCCTTTATGTGTCTTACATAGTGATTCGGTGTGTCATTGTGACATCTCCCTGAACAGTCTATTCCCAGGCCCAGCTAGAGTCTGTGAAATGAACATGAGCACTCTGCCTTCCCAGGGGCTGGCAGTGACTAAAGAATGTTAACTGTTGGCCACAGCCTGGGGCGCACAGTAATCATCCTAGCTTGCTGGAAGTGAAGAGGTATCCAGGTTGAGGGATTATCACTGCTAAAGCCAGGACAGTTTGGGATGAGTTAGGACAGACTCTGGGGAGGCCTGCACCACCATGTACTTTTGGTCCAAATGTGTGACCTTCACTCATTCTGTGGAACAACACAAGGCCCTGTCCCAGGTGCTGCTCTCTCCTCACCCCTATTAGCTTGTCCACACCCAAACGTTACCACCATCTATCTACCTGTGATGAGTCCCTAAACACTCATCATGGGATTCTCCCTTTTTTTTTTTTTTGGTTTTTCAAGACAGGGTTTCTCTGTGTAGTCCTGGCTGTCCTGGAACTCACTCTGTAGACCAGGCTGGCCTCGAACTCAGAAATCTGCCTGCCTCTGCCTCCCAAGTGCTGGGATTAAAGGCGTGCGCCACCACCGCCCAGTGGGATTCTCCTTTTAAAAGCCTCTTTCCCTGGCCTCTGAGCCAGTGGTTTTCTATTGCTAATAGCGCAGTGTCACAGATGGTCTTACCTAAGGAGGTCTATTCTGTCTCATGGTTATGGAGAGATGCAAGACTAAGGGGGTCACATCTGGAG